TATAAGGTGTAAGGAAGGGGTCCAGTTTCAGTTTTCTGCATTTGGCTAGCCAGTTTTCCCAACACCATTTATTAAATAGGGAATCCTTTCTTCATAGTTGGCAATTTTTTTATTGCCATTTCAATCTCTCTGCCTGCTATTGGTCTGTTCAGAGGTTTTTATATCTTCCTGGTTTAATCTAGGATGGTTGTATATTTCCAGGAATTTAAACATCTCCTCTAGATTTTCAAGTTTATGCGTGTAAAGGTGTTCACAGTAGCCTTGAATGATCTTTTAGTATTTCTGGGTATCAGCTATAATATCTCCCGTTTCATTTGTAACTGAGCTTATCTGGATCTTCTCTCTTCTTGGTTAATCTCACTAAAGATCTAGCAATTTTATTTATCTTTTCAAAGAACCAGCTTTTTGTTTCATTTATCTTTTGTATTTGTTTGTTTCAATTTCATTTAGTTTTGCTCTGATCTTCATTATTTCTTTTCTTCTGCTGGGTTTGGGTTTGGATTGTTCTTGTTTCTTCAGTTCTGTGAAGTGTGACCTTAGATTGTCAGTTTGTGCCCTTTCAGACTTTTTGATGTAGGTATTTAATGCTGTAAACTTTCCTCTTAGCACTGCTTTTGCTGTATCCCAGAGGTTTTGATAGGTTGTGTCACTACTATCGTATAGTTCAAATAATTTTTAAATTTCCATCTTGATTGTTGACCCAACAATCATTCAGGAGTAGGGTTATTTAATTACCATGTATTTGCATTGTTTCGAGGGTTCCTTTCAGAGTTGATTTCCAATTTTATTCCACTGCGGTCTTAGAGAACTTGAGATAATTTCAGTTTTCTTAAATTTACTGAGACTTGTTTTGTGGCCTATCATAAGGTTTATCTTGGAGAATGTTCCATGCGCTGATAAATAGAATGTATATTCTGCAATTGTTGGGTAGAATGTTCTACAAATATCTGTGAAGTCCATTTGTTGTAGGGTCTAGTTTAAGCCTATTGTTTCTTTGTTGACTTTCTGTCTTGATGCTCCCTTGATTTGGTGTTCTCCCCCTCCCCCTAGGAATGGGGTTTCCTGAGAGCTGAAATGTAGTGATTATTTTTGCTCTTCTGGGTCTAGCCACCCAGCGGAACTACCAGGCTCTGCGCTGGTACTTGGGAGTATCTGCAGAGTACCGTGATGTGATCCATCTTCAGGTCTTGTAACCATGGATACCAGCACCTGCTTTGATGGAGGCAGCAGGGGAGTGACGTGGACTCAGAAGGGTCCTTGGTTGTATTTTTGTTTAGTGTGCTGGTCTTATATTGGTTGGACTCCAGTCAGGAGGTGGCAATTTCAAGAGCACATGAGCTGGGGTCCTATAGGGAGGATGCATATTTGCCCTAGGGCAAAATATGAATACCTGGTTAAGTATTCAGGTTTCTCAGGCAGTCAGCAGGGCCATGGAGCTCCCAAGAGATTATAACCTTTGTCTTCAGCTACCAGGGTGGGTAGAGGAAGACCACCAGGTTGGGGGAGGGACAGGAGTGTCTTAGCTCAGTCTCTCCTTGGGCAGGGCTTGCTGTGGCTGCTGTGGGGGATGGGGTTGTGGTTCCCAGTCCAATGGAGTTATATTTCCAGGGGGATTATGGCTGCCTCTGCAGAGTCACATATGCCACCAGGGAAGTGGGGGAAAGCCGGCAGTCATAGGCCTCATTCTGCTCCCACGAAGTCCAGAGTCCTAATGGCCAGTTTCACACCCACCATGCCCTTCACAACAGCACCAAGTCTATTTCCAGGCAGCTCATGACCAGCGCTGAGAACTCACCCTAAACCAGGAGCCTCCCTGTTGAGAAAGCAAGCAGACTCACAGGTTTTTGGCATTTCAGGGAGCCTGCAGTGGTGATCCAGTTCCTTCGAAAGGTCTGTGGATTCTCTTGGCTTTCCTGGTATTTTCCTGCGGTAGTTCTTGGGGCAAAAGTTCACGATGTGAGTCTCCACACGCTGTTCTGTCCATCCAAGCAGGAGCCGCAAGCATTCCTGACTCTTATCTGCCATCTTAATCCTCCCAGTTTTTGTTTATTTATTTGAGAAGGGGTCTTGTGTGGCTCTGTCACCCAGGCTGGAGTGCAGTGGCAACCTTCATTGCTCACTGTAACTTCAAACTCCTGAGCTCAAGCCATCTTCCCACCTCAGCCTCCCAAAGAACTGAGATTATAGGTATGAGCCACCATGACTGGCCATATGGCAGCTTTTATTTAACCTACTCCAGTAATATGTTCTGTTACTTATAGCTGGATACTTAGGTAACTTAGTATGTATGTGACTTACATAATGAATAAAGGGCACTATAAAACTTTAGGGAAGATGAGAAAAAAGGTTTTAATTAAACAAATATATTCCATGAACTTGGATTAAAAGATTCGATGTGATTTTTAAAATGCCAGTTCCCTGCAAATTTACTAGTTTAACATAATTACAACAAAAAATGCAGAGTATTTTTCAAGGGTATTTATAAAGTGATTCATACATTTTCTTGAATAAGTTGAAAAATAAAGGAATTTTTGAAAAGTTGGAATAATGTGACTTAGCCCATCAATACTGATGTATATTCTAATAGTATTGCACTGAAGAAAAATGAGAAGATGGAGCAGACTATGAAGCCATAAGCAGTTCAGAAGGTAAAGGCACAAATTCGTTAGATAATAATGTTGGCCCTCCTACCAAAGGGAAATTGGTAAATGAGCATTTAATAAAAGGGTTAACCAACTTTTGTTGGCTATTTGGAAACGTTAAATTAGGTACATGTCTTATATCATACAACAAATTCCAGTATATGTTTGACGCCATTCATTCCCTAAGTATTTCACCACTAACTATATGCCAAGAATTATACAAAGACTGAGGACACGATAATAAACAAAAACATGGGAGCTTAGAGTCTAGCAGGAAGATAGATACAAAACAGGCCCAAAGTACAACTGATTGAGATAATGTCAGTCTAATGTGTTCTGCCCAAGTAGTAAAACATACTTTTGCTTAAAATAATTAAGACAATCCTGTAACATGAAACTTTATAAAGACGCTAATACAATATGACCCTTTACACTCACCCCAAGTTTTGTGCATCCTGTTAAAAGTGCCTAGTGCTATATAATATTTGGACATGTATATTAATCACATAAAGAAATTTCACAAAAAGAGTGCCACACAGGTGATATGCAGGGACAATATTCTGAAGAAATGAATATATTAATGTTAAATGTAAAACAAAAGAAGATAAAAGAATTGTAAGTGGGACGATGTGATATCGCCTGTTATTGAGGTGAGGACAAAATTCCAATTCTTAGAAAGCAAAACTAAAAGAAAGTTATAGACCTGGTTACTCAGGCTAAACATAAATCAGCCACATTACACAGAATCAGCCAGATTACACAGCAGTCTACACCACGGTCAGCAACATTTTTCAGTAAAGGACCAGAAAGCAAATAATTTAGGATTTGCAGGCCATACAGTCTCTACTGCGACTACTCAACTTTGCTGTTACAGTATGTTATCAGCCACAAACAATAAAGAGATGGGCATGCTTGTGTTCAAATAAAACTTTATTTATAAAAAGTAGGCCAGATTTGGACAATATATCATAATTTGCTAACCCCTGGTCTAGATCACTCTACACAATGGTGCATGCTTAAAACAATATTTATGGAGGTTTGAGTCCTTGGCTCAATTTTGAAAATGGAAGATATAACTTTCCATATATTATCTGTGCCCTGTAGGCTCTTCACCTTCCATAAAAGAATATGGACCCTTCTTCCAGCTCAATTATCTACCAAAGACTAGGGGTCATACTTACCTGGCAAAATGAAAGAGCTGTATTATAGGCTTTTGCCAGGGAATACTACTTTGATCTCATTGCCTTCAATATTTGTTAAAGTTGGGTTGTGAGTTAAAATATTCTTAGAGAACAAGGCATCTACCTACTTTTCTTGATAACTTATATTCTTTGACCAAATAAGGGCTGCAGAGAAACAGGTACTAGATTACACTTCTTCCTCACACTCAGTCACTTTCTGCAGAACTTTTCTTTTTCTGCATTGCTCTTTGGTTTGAAGATATCAGTTAATTTAGAAAGTCTTCATAAGAAATGAACAAGTTGTAAATAATGACATATTTCTCTTCAGTGATGGAGAATACTCTTCCAAAACAAGGAAGTATAAACTGCTTGGGGACCTGTTAATCACTGTTTTTGTTTTATATGTGTCAGGGTTCTGAGAAGTTACTTTGGAAGAAAAGCTATCCACATTTCCTCCCCCAAGGTTCTATTCTTGGCCCTTCTCTAAGAGCACACTGCCTCAGGAGTCTGACCTCTTCAGACTCTGAGACTGCATCACCATACTCCCTTGCCTGGGTTTGGAAGCATCAGCAGAAAAAGAAAGCAGAGTCAGGGTATATTCTTACCCTTGCCCCAAGGATGCAGCTTTTAGCAGTGGCTGCATCTTATAAAGCTGCGGATGTTGATGGTAATAGCCTCCTGCTGTTGCCAGTCCCCATGCACTTCAACACCCCTTGTTAGTACTATTAACTCTGCTCAAAGTCTGTGTATTAAACTCTCTTCGAGTAAACCCTTTGGGTATGCCATCTGATGCTTATTAGAAACCTATTTCATGAACAGAAAGACAAAAAGAGCCTTTTTAGGAAATCCCTGCCTTAAGAGAACAGCTTATCACCAGGTACCAAAACTTCTGTAAAACTGAAAAAACATAACTTAAACATCATAAAACTGCACATGTAAGTTACTGCTTGAAATTATGGGCTACATGTATGTCACTATGACAAATAAGCATTTAAATCAATGATTGTGGAATGAGATTTACTGAAATTCTACTTGAAATTCAATGAGACTCAAGACAACCTGTTATTAAAAAGCTTTCATTTGCAAACTGATTATTCTTAATATACTATTTGAACAGAAATATATACTTAATGAAATGAACACGCATAGAGAAATATTTTGCAGCTTAGTGGCATACCTCTTTGAACTTGTGACTGAGCTTGCTTGTGTCCAGGTCTGATGGGGAAAACATGTCCTCATTCTCAGGCAGCTCAAAGACTTCAATGGCCATGTCGCTGCCAGGAAGGACAGGTCCTACCTCATCTTCTTCTTCATCTGTGGCATATTCTCCTGTCTGAAAGGAAGGGGATTTCAGAAATCCAGCTGTCCTTACCCCAGATGGAGGTGAGTTATTTGAAAATATTTTATAAAAGAGAAGTAAGACATATACCCAAATGGTGAAAGTGTAAGTAGGTTTTTCAGTCAAGCATGCCTCATGCAGTCAATGTTATAAACAAATGTTAGTTTAAAGATCCAAAGTGACAAACCTATGCCATATACAAGTGCGTTTCTAAAAATCTACTAGTATCAGTGGCATCTTTAATATAGAAACAAGAATTGTTTTTTCAATCTATTTGCTTATTTTACCAAATAAAATTATGTTGCTGTGGGAAATAAGTAATTTCTTCAAATTCTCTTTGTGAATACACCACCCAATAGTGGGAGCAAGGGAAAGGGAAAAAAGGGAAGGGGAGTTTAACGAATCAGAGTTGGAAGGGACCTTAATTAAGGCTTGCAAAGGTTTAGCTGGTTAATTCTCCTAAGCTTTAGACTTCAAACAGTTCTGTTTTGTTTGCTTGTTAATTATTGTGGTGGTGAACTAGTGAGCTAAAGAATAAACCAAAGGTTTCTAACTTGCAGCCTGCACCAAGTGTATTGTTTTGCCTGCCTAGCACGTTTATAAATCTGAATATTTTGTCAACGTGAGAAAAATGTTTCACATAAAGTTCTAGATTTCCAGCTTTCCTTGAGAAAGCCAAACATCTGTTAATATAGGCATACTGGGACATTATAACAATTGGCAAGTTAGTAGTGATTGCCCCTTTTAGAGGAATTATATGCTTTCTGATACCCCACAACTTTTCTAATGCCATATTGTTTCACGTTGTTAGCTTCACTCCTTTGTAATACCCACCGGTCCCTGTAGGTATTTGAGTTCATGACCTCTGGAATAAACGTTCCTCTTTGCCACTAATTTCCTTAACTTTATTAGAAAATAGATCCTCTCCTGGTAGCATCAAGTTATGATACTGTAATTCAAAATAATTGTTTGAAATCTATACCTTATGATATAATTTAAAGATAAATCACTGACAGAGTTAAAAGACAAAGTTCATTGAACTCATCCTTATTCCTTCAGGTAGCACGTTATTTAACACATAAAACAGAGACAGGAATTCATATTGTCTTTAAAACACTTTCATGAACAGTGTACTGAATGATCTATTCCTTTGATTAAATAGGCTCAGCATCTGATTGCCGTTTTTTTCTATTGATTCTGTATTATATTCTTCCTGCCAAAGCAGGAACCCCCTGCTTCACCTTTCCCCCTGCCCATGTTTGCACATGAAGGAAATCTGGTCCTTAATCCCAGTCTAATAATTCCCAATGTCTGAAAGACCATTATTAAATTGCCTTCAGATTTCTCTTTTTCAATAAAATAATTCTAGTTGCCTCAAAGGTAATTTGCTGTAATTGTCTTTGTGGTTGTGCTCTGATTTCTCTCCAAGTTTTCCACGTTTCTCTAAATTGCAGATCCTGAAAGTGGACACAGTTTCTAGTAAGGAATTTGAAGGTCATCGACCATGATGAACACACTGCCACAGCATCCTTCACGCTCTACCTCCCCACACAGAGGCTATTATCATGGAGAACTTGACATTGGTGGCATCTGTGTACAGAAGTAAGCTCAGAATATTCCATGTGAAGCAGTGATTTTCCAAACTGGTTACAGGTTAGTGGGAACCTTTATTTTCCCCAAATATAATCACAGGTGATTTGACTAAAAGGAAAAGAGGTTGGTGGCCTCCAGTTTGATCCTATATATCTCCTCAGTACCTGGAACTCTAGATTTCTGTAGAAATCAGTCTGAAAATGTCTAAACTATAAATACCAATTCAAATGTCTTTGCCACTGGCAGGTGAAGGTAGCTCAAGAATGGGAGCTGGCTGGTCAGATAGCTTATACTTATTTATTAGCACAATGAGATCCTACAAATCTTAAATAACTCTAATTCCAGATCTGGCTTTTTTTTTTTTTTTTTTTTGTATTCTGTGAATTGACTCATCTCCTGTTCATACATATTTCTACAGCCAACAAATACTTGGTAAATTCCAGTGAAATTAATTAACAGGAAAGCAGCAAGACTGGCAAGTAAGTAATCTCAAGATACGTTGCTGAAAAATTTTCATATAGAGGTATAAAACTGTGTACTTGTTTTTAACCCTATCATTACAACTGGCAGCAAAACCCAAGCCTTTATTATGAAGGCTTAAACCAGGTATATAGAATTCACTATATACAGCATTGAATGACTCAAGAAACTCTTATGCTAAATTTAAAGTATGACTAAGCCATAACAATGTGGCACATTTTAAACATGAGTTGAAATGAACAATTTGATTTCCTTTTGCTAGCTTGGAAATAAATACTTGTTCACTATATGTGAGAGAATTAATATAAATATGTGCCTAGGATGGGACCTGACATATAACAAGATCTCAGCAAATGTTTTTAAAAGAATAAATCCAAGAATGCCAATGCATTAACTTGGTAATATATAGAACTTCCTAAGGAGGTTTTCAGTAATATCAAGAAAATGAACTGTGGTCACTTGTTAAGAAGGCAGTAATATATTATACTACAATCTTACTGTGAATAACAGGAATAGCGTATGCACAACATATGCAATTCTTACCTCTAAGTATAAGTTGCACTTTGTCATCCATATACAATTTAATTTTGAAAATTATCTTCAGAAATATAAGTTGTTAAGCATTCTTCTCGATTCTTTTGTGGACTTTGCCAGTATCCTCTCCTTCCCAATACCCAAATTACCTGCAGTACTGTTAAAATTCTTATCACTCATTTCATCTTTTCATTTACTAATGCCTTCTTTCTCCAATTAGCCTTATAAGCATCCTGAGGACAAATATGTCTTTTGCTGTCTCGATTCTACTTATTACTTATTATAGGCTAGGGATGTCATGTTTAAAACATTATGTTATAATTCTCTCTTCCTGAACAGTTGCCATTCCACCCTTAAATAGGCTTTAGGATAAAGGATGCATTTACTACAGAATCTCCTAAATACCTGGAAATAAAAAAGTTACAGTTAGTGGACTAAGAAAAATAGATTCTTCTAATATTTTATCTTTATTGAAAATGGAAATTGTTTTTGTGGTTATACTGCAAATAAAATACGTAACATGGAATGTGTCAGCAGAATGTTGTAAACCTCAAAATTAGATTGGATTAAATCTGCCATTTACAAAGGAAGATGAACAATGTTATACCAAAAAAAAAAAAAAAAAAAAAAAAACCCAAACCAACAAAACCCAAAATTACTACAACAAAGTATTTCCATTGGTATCTAGCTCTATTTCTGCTCAAATTAAAAATCTTTCAAGTAACCAGAGATTCTTGAAATTCTTTGTCCTAACACGCAAATCCACTTCAAATGTGGCAGTAACAGATTTTTGGGTAAAAAACTGACAGAGATAGTAAATTTTCCTTTTCATGTCTTTACCTACCTTTTTGATTAATATATGATATATATGATATTATATGATATAATATATGATATTTTTAATAGCCCCACACAAAGGGGTAAAAAATGAAGAGCAATACTTTTGCAACTTACTGTGTGCTCAGCATTGTACATTCCTCAACTACGGGATATGGGTGTTACCATACTATCTTAATTTGAGGAAACTGAGACTCAGAGACCATACCTAAAGTCAATTAGTTAAATTATTGAAGCTACATCCAACATATTTCAAAGCCCATGCTCCTTCTTCTATGCTATGATGCTTCCAGTCTACAGAAACTAAAGTTCTGCAGGAAAAAAAAAAAAAATTGGGAATATACTTTTTAATGATCCCAACCCCAAACCTGGGTGGATAATCCTGTTGTATTGAAATTCACCTTCCATGGCTTTGAACATTATCATAAATTCACTTTGAAGACTCACACCTCTGTATAGTGGGCTCCAAAGTTCTTGTCCTCTTCTCTTATCTCATAATATGCTTAACCTGGGCAAGTATATAGAATTCCCTTTTGAAAGAATCAGGAGCAGTACTGGTGGGTTAATTGCAATACAGAGAGGAATCACTGACAAACAAACACACACACACACATATGCGTACCATTTTATGTTAACTTAAATCACAGAAGTATTCATTTATTGCTTATCTTTTAATTGCAGTATCAAGTCTTCCTCTTGGCTTATGGGTCTGCTGACTGACATTTTATGCACTCTTGTATAAACTACAACAATAAAATATAGTCTACGAAATTATTGTAGCATCTTTAAAACAGATGAAAAAGATCCTCCCAAGGCAAAAGGAATGCAAAATTTCTCTAGATTTTTATGGTTTTCCTCTATCTTTTATATTTCCTTCTCACACCTAATTTTCTTGAGCTGCCAGTCTTTATTAAATCTTCCCAAAACATTGTATTAAGTTTTCATAGATACAACGACTTCCTTTACACACATATTACATCACTTAATATTTTATAAAATAACATAATTATAACAACAAGTACAACCAACAGGTTCTGCCTCTTGGTAAACATATAACTTTTGACTAGTGGGAGACGTATGCAGACATACTAGAGCCTGGGACACTCATGAGAGCTATAGATATCAGTCTAGGCTTTGCAGAAGGAACAGAGAGTATCTGTTATATTGGCAAGTTGGTTAAGTGGGGATCAACGAAAGAATTTTGGTTTTGAAGTCACGTAGACCTGTGTTCAAGTCCTGGCCTTGAGACATTGGGAATTAGTGTCTATATCTAAGCTTTAATCTCTTCATCTATAAAGTAAGGACAAAACAGTTGCTTAGCATACGAAAGTTGTCATGAGATTAAGTTACATGCTGCTTATGTATTTAACACAAGGTCTGGCACATGGTAGGTGCTCAAAACGAGTGACTGCTATTGTTGCTGCTGCTGGTGTCGATACTGCAATAGCAACAGGCTAAAGATTTTCCAATCTGTATCTTGTAACCACGTTTGCTAAACTTTGGTCTCATAAATGTAAATTCCTAGAAGACCCCAACACATGAATCTTTTA